ATAAACTAACTAAACAGCAGAGAGAACTATCCAAATCAGCAAAATCAGAAATGAAAAGTGGAAAATAACAACGAGGAAATCCAAATAATCACTGTCTTACTTCAAAAGCCTATATGCCACAAAATTTGAAAATCTAAAATGAAATGGACAATTTTCTTGATAGATTCCATTTACCAAAGTTAAATCAAAATCAGGTAACTAGATTAAATAATCCTATATCCCCCAAGGAATTAGAAGCAGTCATCAAAAGTCTCCCATCCAAAAACAGCCCAGGGCCAGATGGTTTCAGCACAGAATTCTACCAGACATTCAAAGAAGAGCTAACTCTAATACTCTTCAAACTATTCCACAAAATATAAACAGAAGGAACATTACCAAACTCATTCTATGAGGCCACAGTCACCTGGATAACTAAACCACACAAAGACCAAAAAAAAAAAAAAAAAGCACTTCAGTCCTATCTTTCTTACGAACACTGATGCAAAAATACTAGATAAAATACTCGCAAACCAAATCCAAGAACACCATAACCAAGTAGGCTTCATCCCAGGCATGCAGAGGTGGTTCAATATATGGATACCATCAAGGTAATCCACCATACAAACAAACTGAAGGAAAAAGAAAAAAAAAAAGAAAAAAAACACATGATCATCTCCTTAGATGCTGAAAAAGCATTTGACAAAATCAAACACCCATTCATGTTTAAAGTCACAGTAAAGGCAATATAAAGCAAGCCTACAGCAAACACCAAACTAAATGGAGAGAAACTTAAATCAATCCCACTGAACTCAGGGACAAGACAAGGCTGCCCACTCTCTCCGTATCTCTTCAACATAGTACTTGAGAGTAATAAGACAACTAAAGGAGATCAAGGGAATACAAATCAGAAAAGGAAGAGGTCAAAGTGTCACCATCCACAGATGATATAGTATACATAAGTGACCCCCAAAATTCTACCAGAAAACTCCTACAGCTGAAAAACAACTTCAGCAAAGCAGCTGGATACAAAATTAACTCAAAAAAAAAAAAAAATTAGTAGCCCTCCTGTATACAAAATACAAAAGGGCTGAAAAAGAAATTAGGGAAACAACACCCTTCACAATAGCCACAAATAACAAAGTACCATCGTGTGACTCTAACCAAGCATGTAAAAGACTTGTTTGAAAAACTTCAAGTCTCTGAAGAAAGAAAGAGAAGAAGATACCAGAAGATGGAAAGATCTCATGCTCATGGATTGGTAGGATTAACAGTGAAAATGACCATCCTACCAAAAGCAATCTACAGATTCAATGCAATTCCCATCAAAATACCAACACAATTCTTTACAGAACTTGAAAGAACAATTCTCAGTTTCATATGGAAAAACAAAAACCCAGAATACCTAAAACAATCCTGTACAGTAACAAATCTTCTGGAGATATCTCCATCTCTGATCTCAAGCTGTACTTTAGAGCAACAGTAATAAAAACTGCATGGTACTGGCATAGAAACAGACTGGTAGATCAATGGAATTGAATAATGAACCAGAAATAAACCCACTTATGGACACGATTTATTTATTTATTTGTTTGTTTATTTATTTATTTATTTATTTATTTATTTATTTATTTATTTATTTATTTTTACAAAGAAGCCAAAGCCAAACAATGGAAAAAAGATAGCATCTTCAACAAATGGTGCTGGTCTAACTAGATGTCTACATGCAGAAAAATGCCTATAGACCCATATTTATCACCCTGTACAAAGTTAAAAAGTCCAAGCGGATCAAAGACCTCAATATAAAACCAGATAAACTAAACCTGTTAGAGCCTGAAACTCATTGGCACAGGAGAAAACTTCCTGAACACAGACTCTAATATCATCAATCAATAAATGGGACCTCATGAAACTGAAAAGCTTCTGTAAAGCAAAGGACACCATCAACAGAACAAAACTACAGCCTACAGACTGGGAATATATAAAGAACTTGATCAAGAAGTTAAACAGCAACAAATCAAGAAATACAATTTAAAAAATGGGGTACAGAGCTAAGCAGAGAGAATTCTCAACAGAGGAATATCAAATGGGAGAGAAACACTTAAACAAATGCTCAACATCCTTAGCTATCGGGGAAATGCAAATCAAAATGACCGTGAGATTTCACCTTACACCCATCAGAATGGCTAAGATCAAAAATTCAAGTGACAGCACATGTTGGAAAGGATGTGAAGAAAGGGGAACCCTCCTCCACTCCTGGTGGGAATGTAAACTTGTACAACCACTTTAGAAATCAATCTGGCGCTTTCTCAGACAATAAGCAATAGTGCTACCTCAAGATCCAGCTATACCACTCCTAGGCATATATCTGAAAGATGCTAAACCATACAACAAGGGTATCTGCTCAACCATGTTTGTAAGCAGCTTTATTCATAATAGCCAGAATCTGGAAACAACCTAGATGTCCCTCAGTGGAGGAATGGATATAGAAATTATGGTATATTTACAAAATGGATACAGAAACTGTGGTGCATTTACACAATGGAATACTACTCAGTAATTAAAAACAAGGAAATCATGCAATTTGCATGCAAATGGTGGGAACTAGAAAAGATCATCTTGAGTAAAGTATCCCAGAAGCAGAAAGACTCACATGGTATGTACTCACATATAAGTGGATATTAGCCATATAATATAGGATAAACATACTATATTCCTAAAGAAGCTAAACAACAAGGAGGACTCTAGGGAAGATGCTGAAACTTCACTGAGAAGGAAAAGGATAGGATCCTTTCACAGGGGTCTCTGAGACATACTGCAACCAAGGACCATGCATGGAGAGGACCTAGAACCCCTGCTCAGAAGAAGCCCGTAAGCTTGCTTAGTTTCCAAGTGGGTTGTCTAGTCAGGGGAGCAGGGGCTGTGTCTGGCATGAACTCAGTGGTACCTGATCACCTCCCCCTGGGGGATGCAGCCTTGCCAGGACACAGAGGAAGATGAAGCAGCCAGTCCTAATGAGACCTGATAGGCTAGAGTCAGATAGAAGGGGAGGAGGGCCTTCCCTATCAGTGGACTAGGGGAGGGGCATAGAGGATGAAGGGGGGGCATTAGATTGGGAGGAAGGGAAGGAGGGGGCTATGGCTGGGATACAAAATTAATAAATTGTAATAAACAATAAATAAATTGAAAAAAATAAAAGCAGCATAGCACAATTATGGCACGCAGTTCCTACAGTACACACAATCTCTAGTACCAACAAAATTTTTTTTTAAATCAAAGACATAAAAAGCATTAAGTACACAAAACATAAGACTCTTGAAAGGAAGTGTTTAAAATAATGGAAATCCAGTGATTCTGGGATCTGACACCAAAGCCCATTCATGAAAATGAAAATAGGAAATAACTCCTCTAAATAAGATTTAAAAGTAGTAAGCAGGGGCTGGAGAGATGGCTCAGTGGTTAAGAGCATTGTCTACTCTTCCAAATGGAACCAGGTTCAATTCCCAGCACCCACGTGGCAGCTCACACTGTCTGTAATGCAAATTCCAAGGGATCCTATACCTTCACACTAACACACATAAAATAAAAATTAAGTAATTTTTTAAATAAGTAATAAGCAGAATTGAATAAAAGAAACTCAATAGAGCTGGACAAGCAGTTAAAGCACAATAATAGAAATGCCAGATAGAATTGGTGGCTCACTTGCAATTACAACCCCCAGAGTAACCTGGTTGGGCAGACTAGCCTCATCAGAGGGATCGGGGTTCAAATGAGTACTCTGAATATTAACCTTGGACCTCCACATACATACATACATGCCCATACAAATTCAAACAGGCACGCAGACACACACCCTACATACATATACATGAATGGAGAAAAAAAATCCCCGTTATGTCCAGAATACAAATGGCCAGTAAGTACAAGCAACACTCATAAGTACATATCATTAGGGAAGCTCAAATCAAAACCACCATAAGGTATCTCAACCCTATTTAATGTATGTAAGAGCCTGGTGCAGTGGCGCACGCCTGGAATCCCAGCACTCTGGGAGGCAGAGGCAGGCAGATTTCTGAGTTCCAGGCCAGCTAGGTCTACAAAGTGTGTCCAAAACAGCCAAGGCTATAGAAAAACCCATCTCAAAAAACAAACAAACAAAAAATGGAATTTAAGACACCAGGTGTAGCTAAATATGCAGAGAGTGAAGGCCTTGAGCACTGTGGGAGTGTGAAATATTATGACCACTGAAGAGAACAGTGCTAACTAAAAATACAATATCATATGATCTACCAACCCCAGCAACTGAGAGGCAAAGGCAATTCTACTAACAAACAGGTAAACAGAATTAGTATATACAAAAAAAGACAGGCATGATGGCACACATCTGTAATCCCAGGAAATAATTCATATCCAGGCTCCACAACTTGGCGAGGCCATTTCTCAAAAATAAAACACACACACAGGCACACACATATATATACATACAGGATAGGATGTAGCCAGATCGTTAATGATAGAATGCTGGCCACGAATCCATAATGCTTACTGGTTCAATTCCCAATAACAACACACAATGGAGTATTTTCAGCCTTAAAAAAGAGGGAATTTCCGACAACATGATAAAACTCTATGCTAACTAAAATAAGCCAGTCACAAAATGACAAATAAGAAAAGCAAGATGGCTTGACAGGTAAAGGCACTTGCTACCGAAGTCTGCCAGTCTTAAGTCTGATCCCTGGAACCCATATACCAGGTGGAAAGGGAAGCAACTCCAAAGTTGTTAGAATTTAAAAAAGAGAGAGAGAGGAAGAATCAACTGCACAGAAGGACAAATAATGTGGTCCGATTCAGACAGAGTAAACACTAATTGTTGGGGTCTGGGAAAAGGGCATGAGGCACTTTCCAAGACAGTTAATTTTTTAAGAACTTATGATTACTGAATTGTAGTACAGCTAAAATGGTTAAGAATATTTGTATTTTACTAGTTAAAACTATTTTTTAGACATAACAAGTAACTGTATTACCTTTGCATTCTGAAATCACTTCACACTCTGAAAGATACCAGCCTTCCTCATCTCTTCAAAATCTTTCATGGAATCATAATTTCTGTAGAAATCTGCATATGCCTTCTTTCTTCGTTCAGCCACGCCAAACTAAAAAGCAACACAACCCATTACCATACTTATTTGTCAGGTTGTTAGAGATAACTAAAAACAAACCAACAACATATCTGTGTTCACTCTTTGCTGAACCCTCTATTTCCTAAGATGGGGGGCGGGGGATGACACAATGAAAGGAATAACTATACAAAGAAGCTTCCTACTTCCCTAGTGACAGATTACTCCTATTCTTGGGTAAGGTTGTGTGTCCATATTTGTATGTATTTGGTACAAAAACTGTAAAGTTAAAAGATATTGCCGAGTGCAGTAGCATTAGGGAGACAGAAGCAGGTGGATCTCTGTGAGTTCAAGGCTAGTCTGGTCTAGAAAGCAAGTCTAGGATAGTCAAGGGTATACACAGAGAAACCCTATCTCGAAAAATAAAAACCAACAAACAAAATATTTTATGGGGCTGAAGAGATGGCTCAAAGGTTAAGAGCACTTCTGCTGGCTGCTCTTCCAGAGGTCCTAAGTTCAATTCCCAGCAACCACATGGTGGCTCATAACCACCTATAATGAGATCTTGTACCCTCTTCTGGCATGTAGGCAGGATTCTGTATGCATAATAAATTAATAAATAAATCTTTTAAAAAGATATTACAAAATAAATGAATAGCTTTCCTTCTAGCAAACCGTAAATATTGCTAGTTAAAACATGGTAACATATCCTGGCTCAACTTGAGCAGAATGCAAATTTTAAAGAACCCTAAAACAGATTTTTAAAGATACAACAAAGGCCAAGTATAGGGATTTATCAACAAGAACCGAATCATTTTGCAAATGAGAATGGAATCCAAAAACAATGGCTGATTACTTCAAAGGAAGGCCTTTAATAACACTGCTAACACTTCAGCATCAAAGAAGAAAAAGATCAGGAAAAGGTGTGTTTATTTGGCTTTTGTCTTGCATACAGAACAGTCAGTACAGAAAGAAGGAATGGCATTTTAAAGACCAGCTGGAGCTATGGCAACTTATCAAAGGCTAAGCAACAGCCATGGCTGGCTTTTGGTGATCCCAATCCACATTTGGGGTATGGCAAAGATCAGTCTCCACAAAACACTGCTTAGTGTATCTTGCCAAATACAGTGTCACCTGCACATAAAACACAGTACAATTGCAGGTACCCAGCCACATCAGGGAGGGTGCTACATAAACGTGCAGAACTGTGCTACCTAATGAGTAATACGGTAAGCACCAGTAAAATTTAATGCTCCTCCTATTTGACCCCCCAATTTCTTCTAACAAGAGAACAAGAGGAAGCCTCCTCAGTGCCACTCTCTGAAAGAAGTCTGCTGAAGCTCCTCACTGTATGTAATGATCAAGTTAGTATCTACATGAAAGGGCTAAGGATGTCCAGATAGCTGGTGTTTTGTGATGCTGGTTTTGGAAGAAACTGGACTAATAATGACCTACTCTCCACGATGTAAACAGAGACCATGCTATGCTGTGCGCAGAAGGCACAAATACAACAGAAAGATTAACAAAAGACAAATTTTCATTCTTTTTGAACTAGGGACATCTATCTTCTTTTCCCCACAGACAATAAAACTTCTAGACTTCCAACTCTGGGACTTAAACTAGAATACCCCATTTACCCCAAGCTTTTGTATTAGGTAGCAGACCATCCGTTTCCCTTGGTGCTCAGATTTGGAACCATCAGGTTTCTTGGTCATCAATTCCAATCATTACCTTGACACACCTGGGAGGAAGAACCTATGGACATGTCTTCACGGCATTTTTTTTAACTGCTAATTGATGAAGGGGGTGCCTAGCCCACTAAGGGCAGTGCCATCCCTTGGCAGATGGTCTTGGGTTATATAATGTAGCTGAGCAAGTCAAAGAAGCCAGTAAGCAGCATTCCTCCTTGGTTTCATTATGGACTATAATCTGTAACTAAATAAACCCTTTCTCCCTCAAGTTGCTTTTCATCATGGTATTTATCAATCACAGCAACAGAGAGCAAACTAGGACAATTCTAAAAATTTTAGATGCCATGTGGTGGGACTTCAGCCCAATAAACTCATGAGCCAAGTCATGGGATAAATCTTGTTATCTTAGGCAGGCATGGTGGTGCAAACCTTTAATCATAGGGCTCAGGCAGAGGCAGGTGGATCTCTGTGAGCTGGAAGTCAGGGTGGTCCACAGCCAGGGCTGTTACATAGAGAAGCCCTGTCTCAATTCCACCCCTCAAAAAAATTATTGGGTGTTTTTGAACCCTGAAGGGGTGTGCGTAACTGTACATGTACACAGCATGCTGGGACTGTTTCTTTGGAGGACCATAGCATACTAGACAAGCCAACCAGCACTGATTTGTTAGGACAAGGACGAGTGACTTCATTAACCTAACTTGAGAGCCAGAAAGAAGCCGTTAGTGAACCCAAGAAGTGAAAACGGTGTGATTTCATCTAAATCAGTATACATTATACTTTAAGTGAGAAATTCTAAGTCTAGACCTTAAGGACCAACAACATGGCTCAGCAGGTAAAGGTGCCCGTCACCATGCTTGAGGGGTCCCTGGGACTTCACATGGCAGAAAATCAATTCCTGCCAGTTCTCTGACTGCTACACATGCACCATAGAAAGCATGGACCCCCATATATACATACTAAATTTTCTCATGGTCTTATTACAAAAACATGGTAACATGCATAATAATAAACATTTTTAACAGAGGATCTTAAATAGCAATATACTCTGAATAAAAGGGGGGGAAGGTGTAATAGAGATATTAAAATCTATAGATGAGCCAGGGAGGTAGTGCTCACCTTTAATCCCAGCACAGACACAGGCAGGTGAACAGGTGAACAAAGGTTTCCACAGAATCCACTTTAGACACTCCCTAACCCTGTGGAACCTCAGACCTGAGTGGTCTACATATACACAGCAAGTTCCAGGCCAATCAAGGCTACACAGTAACTGTCGCACCACCCCTTCAGATCTATAGAAGGCAGTGTTAAAATGCTGCTCTTGTCAATTCTTCAAAACTGCCAAAATTAACTGCTTTTACCGCTGCATATTGCCTTCTGTTAAAGGCAGAAATTTGTTCTCAAATGCATAAAATTCTACCTTACAATAGACAAGTTCCTCTTGCCAGGGACTAGGAACATTAGCAAGCAACTTGTAAATCCCCTGAGGCAATGGGGGCTTTTGTCTAAATCAACTTGACCTTGGGAAAAGGACTTTCTTAGGGACCAAAAATACCATTATAGAACATTACAGGTTTTTTGGTCTGGTTTAATTTATCCAAATAGCTAAAGCTTAAAGTGAGCAAAGACAAGTGAAGGTGGACAAACATTACTGTGAACCTGAGTTGACCTTAATAATTTATACATCCTGATTATCAAATATACCTTATTTATCAAACACGGAAACAGCTAACAAAGACGTAAGTAGTTACACATACATCTTAAATCAGCTTTTGTTAAGCTGAATAGAACTTTAAAACCTTAAAAGCTTATCACCATTTAGATTATACTGTAAACCAGAGTTGAATCACTTATATAGTATGTTGTAAATTTTTATCATCATACAAAATTCCATACTAATCCAAAATATTTGAGATTTGTTGTCACTTCCTTAGTATAAAAGGTGATATACAATGATAAACTAAGGGCTCACTAGGTCTGAGAAGTAACATCTGTTTCCCTAAACAGTTGAATCTAAGTTACATCACATACAAAGGATGCTGTAGCAAATTAAAATTTCTATATGTATAGGCTTTAATTATAAGCCTTTTGATAAGCTTACAAATTTTGTTAGATTTTGCAGATTCTTTAACAATACCCAATTAAGTTATAAATCAACACTGAAATAAAGATTGTTTACTTAATAGTCTTAAAAGATTTGAGAGCAGAGCAGAGAAACCATGGAGATAAAAAAAGACGTAAGAGCAGAAAGTTGTAGAACATTAGAGATAAGAGACTTTGAGATCATTCATTTGTGTGGTGGCAAAAGCTGTTACAATCTGTGAGAATTTGGAACTTGAGCACCATCTTTGGCCACCAGTTTCCAGTAAGACAGTGATGCTTTAGAAAGTCTGAGTCCAAGCTGGCACAGTGGGGCCTGTGACCCCAGCACTCAGGAGGCAGAGGAAGGCGGATCTCTTTGAGTTCAAGGCCACCCTGCTCTACAAAGTGAATCCAGGGCAGCCAAGGCTACACAGAGAAACCCTTTCTCAAAATAAATAAATGAAATTTTAAAATTTTAAAAATCCAGCTCTTTTTCTTGCTTCTCTCTCTCGGGGCGCCCCCTTTCCTCTCTCTCTCTCTCTCTCTCCCCATCATGCCCTGTTTCCCCCTTCCCTCCATACCCACCTAATAAACCTCTTGCATAGAAAAAAAATTTTAAAAATCCAAGTCCAAGAAAGGAATTGAGTCCGAGAAGAAAAGAAAGGTAGTGAAACGATTTCCAGCATGTTAGCCAGCTGAAAGACAGATAACAAGTGCAGCCATAAGGGACAAGAAGCAAGCAGGAAATCCACCTAAGGGAGGATTCAAATATCAGAGAAGCCAAAAGGGCATACAGAGGCTGAGGGATTTAGCAGGCAGTTCCTAGGGAGAGGGGAGGGAGTTCCAGGAAGGAGCAGTGAGGAGCCTTGAGAAAGCAAAGGGGTGTCATGTAACAAGAATCTCAATGTGTGGCATCCCCTATCGACTGAGAGAGAGAGACTTGTCAGAGATAAACGACCCAAATCACAGGGGGTAGGCATCCCTTTCCTGGGGGGCCCAGCAGGGTGAGACAGCTTCCTGGTACAACAGCGGCTTTCATAAACATAAATAAAGCAGGAAGCTCCATAGTAACAACCAGTAGAAGGGGGGAGAAAAGTAGTTAGAACAGATAGAGGAGAAAAGAGCTGGAAAAGTGTAAGTATTCTTAATAAGTATAATTGCCTAAGTGGACGGACCCACAGGACATAGAAGGGAGATGCCCAAATAGTAAGGGATATATAGTAAGGAGATGCCCATGTGGCGGGCAGCCAGAAAGCTGTAGCAGGG